TGTGGGTGGAGGGTAGGGTTTTGGACCTTCTTGTTTCCCAGCCCATGAACTGGAAGGGGCTGGGGTCTGGCTGTCCCCCGTACCCCAGTGGTGCCAGTGGCCCGTGCATGGTGCTGGTTTGCAGGGAGGGCGTGCTTCTTGTTCTCTTCCCATGCTAGCATGCCATTTTCAGATGGGTAAATTTTCTGCTGCTTTCTTACATGAATGCATGGTTAAAATTTTTATATATGAATCCTCAGACTCAGTTCTAACTTGTTTATTCCTAAAGACAGACTATGACTAAGAGAATAAACAGTGAGCTAAATTGTGTTATATCAACTTCGCTTGTGTTGGAAGCTCTTTCCCTGAATCCCTTTGTCTACACTGTACTGGGCTAGAGGTGAGCAATGAAACAGCTTAAATGAGATTTAGAAGGAGGAAGTGGAGCAGAAGACAATACTTTTAGAAGCTCTTTTAGGAGAGTAGAAAGGTGCAGGTTGCTTGGGAATTTCTCAAGACACCGGTCATGCAACTCATTGTCCCTCCCCTCTATTCTATATCCAGCTTATCTTCTCCACTGCTGGAGACTGAAGCGGTCTCAGGGTTGCCGCTACCAAGCATGTGGCTGTGGGTTTACAGAAGCAACAGCTGCAGAGGCCACAGATATTTTAGAAGTAGGATTCTCCACAGACAGCTCGATGAGCTCACCTACTGTAGGAACACATCAGTGGCCAGATGTTTTTGTCCTTAAGATTTCTTTGCAAAGCTCCGCCTTGTCTGCTTTCACCAGTGATTCTGATGTATTGATCACTGACCGGTCCTTTGATTCTGTGATCTGTCTTCCCTAGCAAACTTCCTTAGCTCCATTCACATTTGCATAAAACCTAATTCCTAAATCCCTGATGTCCATAATACAGTGTTACTAATTTCCTGGATGAACCCAGTCTCAGACAAAATTCCATATAATTGTCAGTTCAGAATGGAACCCGCAGTGAGTAAAAGCTCATTGCTGGTCCCAGTTGAAGGGCAAGCAGCATTGTTAATTTGGCCTCTTGATTAACCGATCCAATAGAGCTTGAACTGTGGGAGAGAAATGTTGTGTGAATTCTGTTGAATACTGACGCAGGATTACAGAAAAGAATTGGAATATTCATTCACAAATATCTATTCTCCTTTTGAGAAACATTACTTGTTTGGCCCTGAGTGTTCTTTGAGACTAAATGTCAGAATTATTGGTTGCTAAGTGACCTTGTAACCTGAGCTATCCCTTGTGAACTGTGGTGCTGTGATCCACAAACCATGAGGTAGAGTGTGAAATCAGGGGTTCAGCATCTGTGAAACTGAACTTGACTGATGAGCAAGCAGCTCCACTTCTGTGACACTGAGTTCTCTTTCAGCCCCTATCCATGGCATCTATGCTCAAAGGAAATAAAATTGGATCTGATTTATAGATGGTTCCTCTTGATTTCCTCCATAAGATGGTGTGAACTAATGTAGCATGACCGCTCCTGTCAAAGTAGTCCTGAAAGACGATTCCAAAACCTTAATGATACACTTAGTTTTTACTTTGTAAGAAAAAAAGGAGATGGCCAGTGTGGCTGTTAATCCTGATTTTTTAACTTCACTGGATTACCTAATATATTAGTAAAGCATGTTCCCAAGTATGTCTATATAGTTCATGAAAGTGTAATGATGGTTACTATATGTTATAGTTTGCATCTTCATTATCTAGATGTATTTCTCACTGGGTCCTACCTTTTGCTGACTTTTTGCTTTGCTTTTAGGCTAGGACTGCTTTAGTGACAACTCACCATTCTTATAGTCTCTGCTGACACTGCCATTATAAACCAAGGACCCCTCATGTTTGATAAAGAGAGATTTCTGTGTCTGAGCACTGTTCTGAATGGGCACACAGAGACTCTCAATCAGGTAGATGGGTAATGCAGCCTGTAGGTGCCTGGCAGAGTTTCTTCTTGACTTTGCCAGTGCTGGGACCATGAACCACACTCAGAATAGTGTGATCATGGAGACAGGAGAGGACTATTAACAGGTTCGAGAACATGATTCTCTTTCTTACCAACACTGACTCAGGTCCTAATGGTGCTGCTTGTCCAACCTGACAGTACCAGAGACTTAGCAGCATTATATCCTTGAAGTGGCACCCCTCTTAGGGGTGAGAGATTATATTATATTACATCATGATTATTATTTGAGGGATTATATTATGATTTTATTAGCTACTTGTATTTTGGAGGAAATAGGCATTGATCATTAGAACTGATAGCTACTCTAGATGTGAGTTATCCTTTTTTTATCTGAAGTTATTCAGCCAGTGCCACCCTCTGAGGCCTCGCGATTGCCCAGCACATTAACCTTCTTCACACACAGTAGTACCTCAAAACAGAGACCAATTTTATGAAGAAGGAGGTATAGTAATGTGTCATCAGCCTTATCACATACCATGTCACCTAGAAACAATCAGGCTGACAGAATGTTGTATTGTCCTGTTGAAAGATCAGTAAAAGTGTCACCTTAGAAACAACACTCTAGAGATTGGAGTGTTATTCTCAAGGATCTGATCAATACACTGAATCAATAACTAATTTATAATTCAATGTTCCCACATAGCTAGAATATGTGTCCAGGAACCAAGGAGTAGACATAGAATTGACCTTTTAAATTATCACTCAGAGGGACTTCTTACTTGTGGAATTTGTAAATTTCTGTCTCTCAAGACTCAAATTCTGTCAAATTAGAAGTCCAAGTTCCCAGAAATGAAATGCTTTCCCCAGGAAAGGTGGTAAAATATCTGATAAACTGGAAGTTACAGTTCTTATCAGCCATTTTTAGCTCCTCATGTGTGCATGCAGCAAACAGAGCGTTAAAATATGAGCTGGAATCATTGCCTTTGCCACAAGAAGCTAGAGTTTCTGTAATGGGAGATGAGTATGACTGGAACTCAGGAGATTCTCCGGGTATCCTTTGTACTTTTGTGTTCACTGATAACTGTATGGTAAATGTACACTTACAATGACTGCAAGGCCCGTAAAGGCTCGGGGTCCTAAGGCAGGAGATCTAGAGGCTCCATCTGTTATATAGCACAGAATAACTGAGGTGTTGGATGAGGGGAGGTACACTTGTGCTGAGTCATGGAAATGGGATGAGAAATGTCAGTTGGGTCTTAGACCAGTTTTGGCAGTGGAGACGTAGTTTGGTTTGCTATTCTTCTAAGTCTTTACAGGGAACTACTGCTTTGAAGGTTTGGATTTTCAACTTTCCCATTAGGAAACTAGGATGCACATGTTTTGAGGCAAGATTCAGAGACTGAGAAGGTGCAAATAGATTTGGGTGGCACAGGGAGGTCTAAATAAGCACAGTTTATCCATGACATTAAATCAATTCAAACAGTTTTATTTCCCATGATTATAAAACTCTGGCCATCATCATCTTGCTGAAGATCAAAGAATCTCCATGCATGGTGTCACTTGACAAGGAAAGACCACCATGACTTTGTGATGGTCCAAAGAAAACTTGTGGAGGCTCAGCTCCTTTAGTAACTTTCTGGATGGGCTCAGTGACGTGATTCCTAAGTGTAAGAATGCTTACTCGACATGCAGCAAACCTTGACCAATGGGAGACTGAAGATACAGATATAGGTTTATCCATTGGTAGATCAATATATGGTGTTGAGTTCCCATAGTTAAAACATATAAGGCTTGGAAGCTAGCATATAAACAAAATTAAGATAACTGTTAATTTTATCCCCTCAACATAACTGCCATAATTATTTTGGTATAGTTACTTCTAATCTTCCTTATGTATTCATAAAAATTAAAAATTGATATTCTAGTATAGGGAAATTTTTATATTGTTTTTAAAAGCATTATATTATGTTGAACTTTTCACATCATCAAATGCTTTTGAAATAAAAGTTTAATGAGTTAAAAATATTGAATTATAATAATTTACCACTTAAATTCTATTTCATGGCTAGTATTCCAGCTTTTTTCTTTTTGGTAACTAAAAATAGTTAGATAATTTTTTTTTTTGGTACTGGGGTTTGAACTCATTACCTCATGCTTGCCAGCCAGGCACTTATGCCACTAAGCTAAATCCCCAGCCTCTAGATAAAAATTTTATATATGAATCTTTATGCATGTCTCTGTTATTTCTCAAAGTTGAATTCTTAGAAGTAATTTATTCAGGGGAAGAAATCATCATGCGCTCAAAAGCCATGGGAATTATTGAACTAAGGCTGTGGTACATGTGTTCCTGTCCTGCCTTTGTCCCCTCTGGTTAGTCCTTTTGCTGGCCAGTGTTTGTACTGAACAGGCTCTAGGCTTTGGACTTCCTGCTGGTGTGGGCAGAGACCTTTGTGTTGCTCAAGCGGACCTTGTGATGCTTCTCTCCTAAACAGAGGGTAAGTCTCCCCTCAACCTCTGGGGTCATTCTCATTGACATTTTGGTTGTCACAACTCGGTGGTGTGGAAAGAAGGGTGTTGCTATTGGCTTCTAGAGGATAGGGACATTCTTTTCTTTTCTTTTTTTTTTTTTTTTTCTAATTAGTACCAGGGATCGAACTCACGACCCCCTGCTCGCAAGGCAGATGCTTATGTCGCTGAGCTAAATCCCCAGCCGATAGGGACATTCTAAAGATCTCGGAAGCAAAATGTTCTTAGTGATTCTTTTTACTGAAGATTCAAATTAGAGTTGACAGAGGGAAGGAAAGAGCTGGCAAAATGTCTTTTTTAAACTGGTTCCAGCCTTTCAATGGAAATTTTTGCCTTCTTTCTCTACGTTTTCAGTGTTTCTTCTTTATATTAGTTTTTGTGTCCATATCTCTCCATTTCTGTCTCTCCATCTTTGTCCCACATGCGCATATGTACACACATGTATGCACACACATACATGCACACAGATGCATAAAGTTTCCAAATCTCAGTTACTTGGGCGTGGAATCAAGCTTGTTGTGTGTAGGAAGAGAGCAACAGAGAGAGGAGACATACTCAGATGTGGAATCTGGATTTTTACTGAGCTTTATTGAGAGTTCTATGAGTTGTAGGGACTTTCTGGAGTCTCAAGGACATGGCTGGACTTCAACAGGAACCAGAGACAGGCCAGAGTAAGTGGTACAGAAAACCTGCTCAGATCCAGTTCCAGATTTCCTTTCAGGCTGGCCGAGGCTCCATGGTTAATTTGCTTTCAAGATCTTGTTGATCCACGGCCGGTAATGGGAGATTCGGGTGAAGACAACAGGAGGTTTTGCATTCCGATGTGCATAGGATACAATGCCCTGGGCTATCCCTGCACACAGGAGGGGACCTCCAGAGTCTCCCTGAGAGAGAAGGAGAGGGAGAAACAAGAACAAGGACAAAAGTGAGCTAAGAAGTCCTCCAACCCTGCCCATAGGTCCCAGTTTGGAGTCATCAGCCAGGTCTAGAGGACCCCAGAGCCCTGGATCCTCATGGGGTTATGTATCTAGGTCTGATACTCCTCCTTCCTTTCTTGGGGCAGTCACCCCACCTTATTCACACCACCCCCATGTGCCCTGTGTTTTTGACTGGGTTGGGTGGTCAGAGACCATCCTGAGCACTGAGAAGATGCTCGCACTTTCAGGTTCTTACACTTTTGATCCCAAACCTGTCACTAGCTGACAATCATCTGATTCCATCTTTTTCCAGAAGAATGTTGGTCCCTGAACAGTGATTTGTGGAGAACTGGTTAGAAGATCACCTTGAATACAGATTTTCTCTTCCTAGGATTACCCACACACAGCTGGAGATTGTGGTTAAAGTTTGGGAAGTGTTTGCAGGCTTGGGGATCCATGAGTCTCAGCTTCACCTCCTGAAGAGTGTCGGAGGCAGGCTCCTCCACATTTGTGCGCCCCCAGCCTGCTGCTCGGCACATTCTTCCAGATGTGAGGAAGTTGCATTCAGGTGGGAGGGGGAGTGTGCCCACGGCTAGGGTCAGGTTGGCTTTCTTCTCCAACTGTGAAGGGAATCAGGGGATATTAGTGCAGTACATGGGCTGGGAGGCAGTTGGAGGCAATCTGGGAGGGAAGGACAAATTTTTTCCTAATAGAGCCAAGTCTAAGTGGGGAGGAAGCAGCGACCAGAGGCAGACCAGGGAAGGTCCAGGACAATGATGTCCTGAAAGAGAAGTCTAAGGAAACTGACCAGAAGAAGAAAGATGTTGTCACCTTGAGTAACATGATGTCGTGGAGAAGTACAGAGCTATTGTAGTTTGGATGCAGGAATTGCTTTATAACCTTAAGCCTCTGCCATGTGTCTTCTTTCATTTTTTTGTTATGGACCCCTAGGTTGACTGTTAGAGACCTATTGTAAGGAAAAAGAAAGGACAAGCAGAAACAGTGATGGCTGGAGATTTTTCCTGAATGAGGTCCCTTCTGAGAAAAGAGGCTGGACTCCCTCCCTAGAGCACTAGACTTTACCTATCATCCTTTCCTGAGCTGCTTGTATTACTTTGGGAGGAGGAGGGGGTTCAGGGGGCTTAGGATTTAGTCAGGGAAGATCTTTCTGAGGAACAGACGTAATTTCCAGGACAAGACCCCTGGGGGTTGCTGGAGAATGGGCAGGCCATGGAGGACCCAGGTTAGGTGCTTCCTAATTCCAGGAAGCCTATGTGAGGGCTGGCCACTGGAGCAAGAGATAGGAGAAGAAAGCAGGGAACTGCTGGTTCCCTGTGGACCCTGTTCTCCGTCTCCCTTGAAAATAAAAAGGATGGGTCCTAAACTGTGGGAACTAAAGGCTAGTGCTAGTGAAAGGGCTTGGAAGAAGTGGCTTGGATAACTGGATGGCCTTTGAAAGTATCTTTTGTGTTGGGGTGAAGGTGAGAGAAGCTTTCAGAGGAGAACTTGGGATGGTCTTTGTTTTCGTCCGTAGGGAAATTGAGACCACAGTGACTGAGGCTGAAAGTATCTATTTAATGAGGCCAATTTATCTAAATCTCAATCCTTCTCTTGAAAGTTGACTCAGTACCAGGATCTATTCTTCAGGGCCCTCTGTGGGTATAGCCCAGGGTGCCAGCCGGGTTGTTTATCTCCCATGTGGAGAGATACACAACAGGCCCTTGTCTTACCTTCCTGCACAGTGAGCTGCTGTTAGCACAAAGTTCCGTCGTATCAAGAAACCACCACAGTCTTTCTCATATCCCTCAGAAGAGACAATTTCTAGGTAAGCCATGTAGGGGCGGGAGTGTGGCTTGCACTCTGTGCCACCGATGACTTCCCCTGTAACAGACAATTCCAGGACCTTCAGAGAGCACAGGCATTGATGTGGTCTCCAGAGAATGCATAGTCTGGTTGCAGTTGATGGAGGCTTCCCTTGAATCTCATCATGGCCCTAATACTGCCCATCATGCTGTCAGGTCTGTTGTACTTGCATTTCCCAGGTACGGCTTCCCCCATAAATTATCATTTCTTCCTCCCAGCAAGCAGTCAACTCTGCTTGGATGCTGTTTAGATATCTTCTACTTTGGTTTCCCCTGCTCCCACCCTGCCCCAGCCCAATGCTTTCTCTGTCTCTGTGCAGGACACACTGCCCAGATTCCTGCCCTATCTTCTCTGAGCCCATAAGCAATGCCACAGATGCTACAGAATGGAAAGGTCACAAAGCATTCTGTAGCTCTGAAGTTCAGAAAATGAAGAGAAAGTGCCTATTTTCCTTGGGATCTCCCTCTTCCTCCCACGTGCTCTGGATTTTCCCCAAATCAGTGTAGGACTCCTCGTTCTTGGGAACTAGAAGCCAGAAGAGAATGGGAGTGCATATCCCAAGTGGAGACTTCATTCTGGGACTCTTAGTGGAGATCCTGGTACCCTGTTTGAGAGCCAGATATGTTCAGAATACACATCTTTGTTTTAGGAGCTCATCGTGCAGATTACAGACAAGAAAGATTTTATACTTACCAGCTTTGGCTCTGGTGTACAGGAGAAAGAGTAGTAGAGGGAGAGAAAGAAGACACATCTTCTCAGGGAGGCTGCCCACAGCAGGTGCTGATTTTGTCTTCTAATTTTGGGGTTTATTACAGCAGGCAAGGGAGGGGCAGGGCTGGTAACCACAGGAACTGTGTGGTCATGTTTTCTGCTCTCTGTCTAAATTGGCTCTTCTCATGACCAGACATTTACCCAGAATCACACTCTTGCCAGAAGTGAAGTTTAGGTCTCAGCTCCTGTGTTCTGGCTCCTGAGATGAGTCCTTAACCTGCCTCTTATCTGGTGAGAGTGTAGGAACAGGTTATGGAGGAATCTTGTCTTTTCCAATTAGGGCAGTGGGTTTAAAGTCCATCAGAATCTCTGGTTGGGGACAGTCTTCACACTGAGCATTCAGATGCATGAACAATAATGTGGGTCCACAGTAGAAAACAAATTTTGCAAAAAGACACAATGAAAAGACATGCATATCTTCAATTATATGATCACAAACACACACATGCACACATCAGTGAAGCTCAAGTTTCAGAAGACGATATTTATTGTAATGATGTGCAGTGTTCTCTGTTGGCTTCTGTTCCATTCCATTCCATTCCATTCCATTCCATTCCATTCCATTCCATTCCATTCCATTCCATTCCATTCCATTTAATTCTATGTCTTTTCATTCTGCTCTCTGACTGGAACAGCATCCCTCTTAAGACATAATCATCTGCAAATTGAAAAACATTGACCTGCACCTCACTTCCTCTGAGTTGATGCTTGTTGGCAGAGGAAGAGAAAGCCCAAGGTGAGTGGATAGAGGAAGGAGACAGACCCTAGGTTAGGACTTTATGGATACCGTCAGTAGACCAATGGGATGGAATTAGCCTTTTCTCAGGGCTCATGCTTATCATTTATTATCAAACCTCTTGAAAATATTGTTATTTTTGTGGTCCCATAAATAGGTGTTTTTGTTGATCTGGCTATCAAGGCTAATAGTTCAGAATTAGATTTCTCTGTTTTTTTTTTATTTTTTTAAACACAGGGTTTCACTATGCAGTTCAGGCTGGACTTGAACTTACTTTATAGCCCACGTGGCCCTGGAACTTGGAGCAATCCTCCCGCCTCAGCCTCCTTAGTGCTGAGATTACAGGTATGCGGCACCACTACTGACCTGATTTTTCTGTTTTCAAATCAAAGGGTCCTTTCTCCTCTACTACCCATAGGAAATAGAGAAGCAGAATCTTGTCAATGTGCAAGGGAAGTATAGCAGTAGGAGATGAGAGCTTTGCTCTGTGTAGCTGAGGTTTCCTATATTTGCTGAAATACACAGTGTCAGTATTTGAAATTTATTTCCTTTTTACTGTTGTTACAGCCACAATGGAAAATACTATTACTGTCTTTACAAATATACAATCAGTACTCAAACACACTAACCAAGATCATACAACTTGTAATAATCAGAACTGAGTTTCCAGCAAACTGTCTGCTGCCTTCCCTGATCTTGGAGGATGGAGTCCGTGGGAGCTCAGGGCAACATGGCACAGGGCCACTTGTCTTGGAGAGTTATGTGTGTAAGTTCATAGATGGGAACCTGACAGGTTTCCTATGTCCTTGATGTGATCTTGGGTTTGTGACTGGCGTGATGTATTTCTTAGTATATACAGGTATTGACTGGACTTCAGTTTAACTTCTAAATTGCTACCCATTTAATTTCATCCATAGCTCTGGTTTTTTTGTTTTAATTAATTGAGTTTATTGGTACACTTTCAGTACATGAAATGATCACATTCATCATGGGGAATTTGTAGCTGGACATGATACAGCTTGATTCTTCTTTTTTCCCCATTTCTCTCCCCTCTTTCCCTCCTTATTTACCAAAGCTTTGTTTCCATTTTTCCTTTTCCCTTTCTTCCTTTTTCTCTCCCCCTCTGTAGTTCCCACTCCCATCTGAACATTTTTCTCCCATCTCATAAGACCTACTAGACAATTTGGTCCTCACTTATACTTTCAGTTTCTCACACCAGAGAAACAATGAGATATTTACAGATGTCTGCTTTGTTTCTGATCTTTTTTAGACTAAGATATTTACACACATTCTAATGTCTTTTAACATTTGGACATCTTAGGATTCCCACCTCTGTTTTCTTCAGGTTTTTGCTAATAAAATGCAGAATGTCCAGTTAAGTTTGTATTTCAAAAAAGCAAAACATCATTTAAAAATGTAAATATGCCTCTGATATTGAATGAAGCATACTTACACTAAAATTGCTATTTGTCTAAAAATTTAAATTTAACTATGAGTCCTGTACTTTTCTTTCTAAACTGGCCATGCTGATTGGGCATTCTACCTCTAGTAGAATAGAAGAGAATGTGCCACTGCAGAAGTCTTGTCCTGTGGCCTAGAGATAGCAAGACCAAACAGAGGAGGCTTAAGCAAATGAAGAATTTCTATGTTTCACTTCTGTAATAGAAAATTAGAGGTAAGTTACCTTGATATGACAGCTCTACTAAATCAAGGTTCATGTCTAGTAAGACTGAAGCTGAGGCTGAGGTAATGGAGTAGGTTCAGCTCCCCACAGGGAACCAAACTTAGCAGTGTCCATTGCACTATCTGCCTGTAATTTTATAGTAGTGAGTCTGTTAATAGAGTTCCATTTTCTCTCTTCTTCTCTTCCTTGTATATGTTACATGTTGAATGTCAACAGTGCAATTTATGGTTTAGTTTATAGTTGACACAATACCAAGATGGGAGTGGAGTGAATATCACAAGAGATCCTATATTACTACCCAAGAGACCTGTTGTTTCAATTACTTCAGGAAAATTAAGATTCATTTACCTTTGTATAAAAGATAGGAAGTTGTTTCCAAGATTTAGCTGTTACAAATTGTGATACTATACACATGGGTGCACATATATTGCTGTGGCATGATGTTTTAACCACCCAAATGCTCATCAACCATGGAATGGATAAAAAAGATGTGGTATTTTTATACAATGGAATATTACTCAGCTATAAAGAAGAAGAAACTTGAAGCTTTTTATGTCAATGTATGCAACTTGAGACCATACTCATAAGTGAAATAAATCAGACTCACATGTGTAAATACTGTATTGTCTTCCTACTATAAAAACTGAAAGAGTAATTAAGATCCAAAATGTACAATAGATAATGTGAAAGTGAAAGAGAAAGAAACTACTCAAAAGAAAAGAACAACTGGGATAAGGGAAAGGAGGACAGAAAGAAGGGAAAAGATTATAAGTCTGTCTATCTGTCTATTATCTATCTATCAGATAATTATCATGGACTGATCAGGCCAGCAATCTCCCAAATGAGTGGATGGCAAAGGTTTAAATAAATGAGACAAATGGTATGATTTTAGGGCTCCAGGAGGAACAAAACCATCTAGCAGAATTCGAGATTCTAGAGGCTGAGACAAAGAACTTCTCCAGGTGGCCTTATTTATGTAGTTTTCAAATAAAGAGAGGAGATACTAAGGAAAGTGCAAGAACTCAGCAGGACTTTGGGAGTCAGTTTGAAGACTTCTCCAAGTAATAAATCATGCTAATTTAGGGGAACTGTCTTCTCTCCTGGTTGACTTTTATGGCAGGACTGAGATAGCAGGAGTGAGATGCCTGCACCCGCTGTCTCTAGTTAATTGGGGTTGCAGCCAGATATTCTCAGCTATTGGCTTTATCTTGTCCTCTGAGATTTCACTGGTTAAGACCTGATAGGAGATAACCACAAAAATTGCCTGTCCAAGTGTAAATATTTTAGCTTCTTTTAGCACATTGCACATTGCTGCTCTACCCAGAGACAAGAAGCCATCCTTAGCTGCATGATCTAATTGCTTTAATAATGAGTTACAAGTAGTTGAATAAGAACTTCCAGTGCAATTCTTTGCACCTTAGGCACATACAATTTAAATGATTTTCTTAAGTTGGGCAGTCCTATGGCAGGCACAGATATCCTTTGATTTTGAGTTTTAAAGGCAATCTGACATTCCACTGTCAAATAAGGGCTTCAAGTTCCATTTCCAACTAGAAACTCGAAGGTATCCACATACTGCAGTAGCCTGCCATAGCTGTTTGTGGGTCCTGGGGGCCTGAATGTTGTTAAAAGCCTTTTCCTACTCAGCCACTAGCCTTCACTGACCTTGCTATAATCTGAACCTCAGGTAGAAAACTTTTGCCTCAGAGGAAGACATTTTATCGCTGCATTTAGGGAGATAGGTGAGAATCCAAATGGTATTTTCTCTGCAGATTGTAAGTCAGACTGGCCATGGACAAGTCATCTGTATTCTGTAGCAAAGGTCGTGGTTTAGTTCTAATGTTGTCAAATCCTTAATCAGTCTTTCCCCCAAAGATTGCAGGTATTCTAGAAACCTTGGGAAACATTGTTAAATAGTATTGAAGAGTAGGTTTTTTTAGCAAAAGAAAGTAAAACGATATTTATTAAATTAAATTTAATAAATTAAATTTTATTAAATTAAATTTAATAAATTAAATTTTATTAAATTAAATTTAATAAATTAAATTTAATAAAATTTAATAAATTTAATAAAATTTAATAAATTTAATACATTAAATTTTATAAAATTTAATAAATTAAATTTTATAACAACAGGAGAATAACAATAGTTAATACCTGTGTATTGTATTTAAAGTAGTTACTCAGAGTATAAGATATGGGAATAAAAAATTCTCCAAATGATATTAGCACAAACTTTCAGTGAACTAACAGAAACTAGTAGTATAACTATCTTATATTATTCTCCTTTTCTCTTATTTCCTTTACCGTTTCTCCCATCATAGCTCCTTTTTTCTTTTGAATAATTTCTTTCCATTTCACATCTATTGTACATTTTGGACCTTATTCACTCTTTCAGTTTCTCACACAGGTAGACAATATAATGTTTACACATGTGAGTTTGATTTATTTCAGTTATGGGTTTAATCTCAAGTTTTATCCACTTACCTATAAAAGTCTCAAGTTCATCCTTCTTTGTGGCTGAGCAGTACACCATTGTATAAAATTACCACATCTCTTTTATTCATCCTTTGGTTGATGGGAATTTGGTT